ATTTTTTTTCGTATGCGTATCTCGGTAACGCGCGGTATCGTGCCACAAAATTGAAAGTATATTTAGATTCAATCGTGTTTAAAAGACTAACATGAATAAATGTAGAACTTTGCCAAATATATCAACTTACCTTTCATTGCTCCCTCGAGCATTGTACTTGAAAATTTCTGTCGAAATTTTGTTTCAGTTTGTACAATTACTATCTGCACAATGCTACGCGTGTCTAAGTATTTTAAAAGCCTCAACTCGTATTGAAAAGCTGGAACAAACTGAAAGAAATTCCAATGCTATTCTTGATCTGTTTTATCGATCTAGATCGCAAGTAATGGCAAGATAAAAATACCACATTAACAGATATCTACCTTATCAATATCTTTGATTGTGTATTTCATGTATACTTTTAACTCATTATATGCTTAAATACTGTAATTAATTATTGTGACTTAACATCAAACAACAAATATGAATCAATATGAACATGCTTCTTTTGAAATGATATTTATTTTGTCTAACATAGTAAAAAATAATAATAATTTTAATACAAATTAATAAATATTAATTGTATAAAGCTATATTTTTTTTACATTTGAAATAAATTTATTTTTCAAATGCAAATGAACTAAGTATTTTACTCGAGGATCGTTTTGGTTCATTATTTTGCTCACTCTCTGGACTTAATTTTCTTTTTTTTGATTCCGAGGTCTCCGGAGTTTTGTTATTTTGTGAACCTATATTCTTCTCTTTATATCTTGCCAAGGCAGTTTTTGTTAAATCAGCAGCACTTAACTCAGGAAACTCTTCTTGTAAGCTCTTTTTATTTTTAGTATACCAATTAATAAATGTTTCCTTTTTTGGACCATCCTTTGCTTCTTTTGTCTTTGACTTTGAAAGTACTGGTGTTACTTTCTGCGGTTTCTCTGGAGCTACTTCTAATCCAGCTAAGCCTGTTTTGTATTAAAAATAAAAATTTCAAGTGAAAATTAAAATAAAACAATTATTTCTTTAATAACAATAATAATACCTTTCGTCGCTGGAGAATTAGCGCTTTTTAAAAAGGGATTACTTCTTTTTTGTGATAATACTTCAGTCATAGATAATGGTTTAATTTCTATATCTGGCTTTTTTGTAATAGATAATGAAATTGTGGATTCTTTAATATCATTATTCAATTCTTCATCGTCGCTTTTATTAATATTTTCATTATCATTGTCTTTACTTTCCATTTCTTTCTCTTTTTCTTCTTCCTTCATGTCAGCAATCGATTCTAATTTATTAGATAAAGCAATTCGATTTATTCTTCGTGCATATTTAATTGCCAATTCTATAACTTTTTCCGAAGCAATTTGTTCACATAATTCTACCGCTCGATACTCCAAATTATTTCGGCAAGCGAGCTAATTAAGTAAAACAAATAAATATGTAGAAAGACATACTAATCTATAAATATAATAAATAACAAATATTAAATTTACCGCAATAAGGGACAACACTGCTTCATTCTCTTCTGATGGATCGGTTCCCAACTTCCATAATTTTAGTTCTTTTTCCGTTTTTTCACTTTCTAGTTCACAAAGCGGTAGAGTTAATGATACTTCTGAAATTACTGGACGTGGAGTAGTTGGAGGATAATGACTTCCTTTGCACAAAACACAACGAGCGATACTTTGTTGTTCACTTATTCCAATTATGAAATAATGGTCTGCTTTACCCTTAGACTGTTTTAAATTTATTAATACAATGAACTGAATGTAATATACAGAAATATATTTATTCACCTGTTCATTCATATCACTAGCCACTCTCCACAAAGACGATTTTTTATTATATACTCTAATAACATCATCAGCATCCATTATTACAGGGGAACCAAAATCAGTAATTCCTAACCACATTAGTTCTGATGATGGTGATAAAGGAAGACACAATGTTCGACTAATTAAATTTAATCCTCGAATTTGAATGAATAGTAAATTCATACACTGATCTCCTGATGTTCCTATTCAAATATTTCAAGTTCATTAAAAATCTGTCGAAAAGTAAATAATAAAAATAATACAATAAAAAAAATACCTATTCCAGTGTGATACGCAAGTACTAAATTATTATTCAATCCATTCATTGCTACTACAGGACCTGGCAAAGCTATGATTTCACGCTGTGTACCTCCTACAGTAAATATTCTTAAATGTCTCCTAGAAGTTCCAAGTGCTACAAAATTATTACCAGCTGCAATACAGTGTCCTTCTTCATCTTCAGGAAGCTCTAAAGACCATTCCTTATTTCCAGAACCCCAACCTATTTTCAATTTAATTATGATTACTTCTTAAATAAATAAAGTAAAAAAGTAATAATTACAATATTAACCTTGTAATGCTATTACAACAAGTTTGCTTCGTGTGTCACTACTTGATAGACAATTCAATGCAAATGCTTCTGTTGACAAAGCAGCTATTGTATGTTTTAAATAATTATTGATATGCATACTACGATGAACTGTCGCATCATGAAATTCTACTTCAATACTAGATTCTTCTCCATCTTCAGAAGTAAAACATCTTACCATACCTACATCATTCCATACCTATAGAAATTAACATTTTAATATATATGTACGTATTTGTTTGAGTGTGTGTGTGTGTTTAATTACTACAATAAAAACAATTTTACCATAAATCGAGATAATAAATGTAGTGGCGATGAACTAGGTTGAAATGGTGGCTGTAAATGGACTTCAGGTACAAAAGTATTTGCATCATGTAATTTTTCAGACTCTACATCAGAATGACTTTTTTGATCATCTTCACGTTCTACTGATGTTTTGATTTTGTTTAGAGATATAACAGTTTCACCATCATCATCATCATCATCTTCTTCTTCTGGAATATCAAGATTACCAATTCTGACATCTTCATTTGTTTCTGAAGTTAATTCATTAGTTGTTACACTATCAGGCACTATCTAAACATAAAAAAACTAATAGATTACTTTTCAAAGTTTTAACAAAAATGCATGTTTTACATATACTTACAACATCAACACATCCTAATTGACCTAAAGTATCACAAAATGCAATTTCATCTGATTTATCAATGTTCCAAGATAATGCTGTGATTTTAGTATTCTGTTGATGTTCAATATAGCCAACTAATTCTTTATTTTGTATATTCCAAACGATTATTTCCCCTTGTACCGAACTAGCAGCTAATAATGTGCCACATTCAGAAAACTTACATATATTAATTTCCTAAAATGGAGATAACAATATGATAATACATGTTATATTAAGTAAAATATTTAAATAAAAAAACGCACAGTTTTTATATTAATACATTTTAAACGAAATAATTCCTTCCAAGAAGATCTTTCAACAATAATTATATCCTTTATATTGGGATATGCAAGATATCTTCCATCTTTAGGATGAAATGAAGGCACACCATATGTTTTAGCTGTAAAAAATGAGTTACATTTAGGAACAACATTTATCCAACTGTTTACAACCCTCTTTTCTTTAATATTCCATACTCGTATTGAACCATCTGCGCTTGACGATGCCTGCAAAAATTAAATATTGTAAGCATAAAACTAGAAAATACGTTAAGAACTTGATAATGGAATGTGTTTTACCACAAACTCTTCTTTTGGATCCAAAGACAAACCTAATATAGGAGCCTCATGACCTATTAATTCTATGTTATTCGATGTACTAATATCAGTAACTTGAATTCTCATATCACTACAACATAATACATAAGTGAACTAATATATGAACTATAATAATATAAATTATTACAACACTGTATGTATATTTTATATACCATCCTCCTGATACTATAATATTACTGTCTTTTGTTGTTGCTAATGCTGAAACAGGTGCTGAAAATCTAGTAACTATTCCTTCTTTTTCAAGATCCGGATAATTAAGAATTTGGACTATATTATTATCATTGCCAACAAATATTTTTCCATTCTGAAACCAGAAGATTTATAAAAAAATATATAAAAACTAATAAGTATTAGAAAAGAATATGAATTGTATTTATATGAATTATATTACAATTAACGTTTTCATTTAATATATGTAATATACCTTTGATACAACTGATATAGCTTGTTCTGAGACACAGCTTGCACTCGGATCATCATCCATTAGATTCAACCAATATCGAACATCTCCATCAGATCCACAAGTGATAAGTCCTTTGCTAAAAATATAGATATTATCTTCTTAATTATATATTTCTTTTATTCATAATGTTTTGAATACTCTAAACTTCTTTCTGACCTATTTTTCTCTAAAAAAAACTAAACAAAAAAATTAACTTAAGAATATGAAGAAATTGCTTTTGAAATAAAAAATTATTTCTAATAAAGAATATTAATTTATAACTTTGCTTACTTTTCACCAATAAAATAACAAACGTCTGTATGTCCCTCTGGATGTGCATAACGCATAGGTTTTTTTATTAATGGCATTTTCTAATAAACCTGATCAACAATTTTACGTATAATCGGATATAATACATTAACTAGCTAAAATTTTTCATTAAAAACTCGTGATCCTTTGCACCTGTATTTTGGCGCGCATTCTCCAGCCGTACGTATATCTCTTCGATTATAAATTTAGCAGATTTTCTTATGTATTATCAAAAACTTACTCAAGTTTTTATTTTTGATTTAGTTTAAAGCTATAATTAAAAAAATTAATTTTGAATATTTTAAATATAAAAGATCTATACAGTACAAAGAAAAAAATATTTACAAGTTCAATTAGATAATTCAAGTTTAATACAAAAAAAGTAAAATGAAGCAAATGTAAAGTATTCAGAATAAGTTTATTAATCTAGGGAATTTTTCAATGTTAATGCATCAGCCTGATGTTAAAATATTTTTTCTGTAGCTAAATTCCGTACATTTGGTAGCAGACGCAGCCTTTTCTAGGGTGGCCTATATGCAACGAGGAGTTTGTAAATTTCGTCATTATAAAATATAAATTTCTCTATTAAGATGACCATGATTTCAAAAGCTGCAGTGGGTATTGCTGTTGGCATAGCTGGAATATTTGTTGGATATTGCTTTTATTTTGATCAGAAGCGTCGTAGCGATCCAGATTTCAAAAAGAAATTGCGTGAACGTAAGTTAAGCTGTAGTATCCTAAATAGCCAATTTTTCTAAACCATGTGATGCATGTTTCATTGATACTATTTAGGATTGTATAAAAAAGCACTTAGAGTATATGTCAGTTGTTCTAATGACAACAATAATTCATAATTAAAGATAATTATTTTTAGAAAATTATATTCTTTGTTTCATTAAATTTCATTCAATTCACTACTAATATTTTGAATGTTGTTGATTTACCTTAGAATTTGAAAATAATATATCAATATACAACTTACTTGATATTATTTATTATTAAATGTATAAAACTTGTTAATATTATTTCATATTTATAGGTAGAAAAGCAAAAAAACAAGCTCAGAGTGCTACTTCAAAGATCCAAGATTTAAAAGATCATGAAGTTGTACAAAGATTTTTCTTACAAGAGGTAGTATTATATCTTCTAGCAAATATAAATATTACTTAATTTTTTTTTTATTACATTATATTTAATATGTCTTAAAGGTCCAACTAGGAGAAGAAATGCTTACGTGTGGTGATATAGAAGGAGGAATTGAACATTTAGGAAATGCGGTTGCAGTTTGTGGACAACCTGCACAATTGTTACAAGTTCTTCAAAAGACACTGCCACCACAAATTTTTCACCTTTTATTACAGCGATTACAACCTATTAGCCAGGTATGTAACTAAATGTAATTTTTAATAGGGAAAATGAAAGGAGAAAATGTGGTTTTTCACTTATTGTTACAGAAACTATCAAGTCAAATTGCAATGGCTGAGGAAGATGTTGAATAAAATATTATGCAAATTTCGTTGAATATTTCAAAAAATAAAATCCAACCATTAGTAGAAAGTGTATGTTTTTTTCGATGATATAGACATCTGCGTGACTTTAATCTGGTCGAACTTTTTAATTATATGTCTTGTTCTCCTTAACTAAACTTCCATATTCCTTAATTGTATATTGTTAATTAAAAACGTGTTACTTATATGCATTTAAATTATAAATGGAAGAAATTTTTGTATTAATTTCTAAATACAATTTCTATTTAAAAATTTTTATCAGCTATTTTTAAAGTTATGACTGCCACAATAATGAGTTATAGTGTGCAGATTATGTATATGTTAATTAAAATGGCAGCAGATGCATAAATGGCACAGACTATAGAAAGGTTTCTAGTCACACAAAATTTTCTTTATACATCTCTTTATACAATATAACTATAATAAGTTGTTCATAGTTGTTAAATGTTTCACAATTTTAAGAGTGAGCAGAATTGTAAAAGTAAGGAGTAAATTGATCTTATTCTAGAAACTAATATAATTAAATATTTCAAAATAATTTTATGTATATTGATTGTTGTAGCATGTTGAAATATTATGCTCCCTTAAAAAGGAATTCATGTGAAATGTGATCTCAGATAACATGTTATTTCCTAGAAGCATTTATATGCTTAACTAAAAGAATACTATTATGACTACATATTCATAATGAATATATTTTATAGAATTTGCATAAACTTATGCAAATATACATTCTACCTTGTGAATATGAAATTAATATTCTTATAATAGATGTATCATTATAAGCATATGTATATGACATTATTTTCAACGGTACTCACTAGCATACTAATCACTTTATAATTATTTTTTGTATAAAAAAATGTTCTATTCTTATAAATTAAAGGCAATAAAAATAAATCTGTTTATATCTTAGCATCAAGCAAAAACTGTATCATATGGAAATAAATAAATGTTATTAATAAAAAAAGAAGAAATATACACAGAAAAATCTTTTCCATTAAAAAATTCAAATATATTTTAATGCAATTTATTTAATTATTTCAGAAAAGGAGATGTAATGTCATAATTGAAAATTGGAAATATTTTTTACAAAAAAGTTTTCTTTTAATAAAACAAAATACAGTATACAATATTTTATATCCTTTAATTACCCTCAATATATAATATAGTAACTACAATGTACAATATTTTACAAATATTATTTCTATAAGTCATTGACTTATTAATCATGAAACTATCTGATCAGTTATCATTGCTATATAGATAGCTGTCAATCAAAGTATGTACAAATAATTCCCTTCATATCAGATGGTGAAATAAATGAACATATACCTTGAATAAAAGTCAAAGGAAGCAAAAAAATATCAAAAAAGATAAGTCTCCATAATAAAAATAAAAAACGAGATACATCATAATGTATAGGTACAATCAATTGAAACGAATCGTCTTATACGAACACTGTTTAATGATGAATTAATTCATTATTATTGATTATTATTATTAATAAAATATTATTAAAATATAAACTATAATTTTGTTATATCTTTCATAATATACTATTTCATAAATATAATTCATTACAATATTTATATTAATATAATTAGTTTTATATTAATTATATTAATATAATTAGTTTTATATTAATTATATTAATGTAATTAGTTTTCTTGATGATCTTTTATTTAAAAAAAAATAGGCATTATTTACATATATATATATAAAATTCAACTTCATTTAAACATAGTAATAGTAAAAATTGTCATAAATAGTATAACATTCTGCATAACTTCAAAATTATAATATGGCAGTGTATAGCTTTTATTTAAACTGCATTTTATACTATTACAAATTCTGCCTAATTCATTCTATTCATTTATAAAGAAATAAACGTAATATAATCTAAGCAATTAAATATAATTAATAAACGTTATATTATAGAATTTTAAGCTAAGTCTTACATTTTTTTAAATCACTGAAACATCAGAATTAAAATTTGTAACTTGTACATTCTTCTAATATAACTATTGTGTATTCTTAAAATTCTTTTTCATCATCAAGAAAAACTAATTTTTATATTGTTTATTAACGCTATTTTGAATTTAAAATTTCATTCCTTGCTTCTGCCATTACATCTAGAGCATTTTTCTCTATAAGAATTTTTCCAAGATCTTTACCAAGCTGTTCAGCACCCAAAAGGCTTAAATTGCTCACTTTGCCAGGTGCAACGCTGCAGTATAATTGTGGTTCTCGATATGGACACTTTCTGTCATATAATAAGTGAAAATTGTATAAATAATAATATATTTATTAATTTTATTTATAGATTTAATTTATTCACTTACTTTGGAGGTTCTCCATCATCATCAGGTATATAAAGTTTACTTTCAGAAATACCTTTGACAAGTTTCTGCCCATCTAAAGACCATACAGCACCAGTAACAGTAAGAATTTTATTTTTTAAAGTTGAAGAAATAGCAACTGGTGCTGAGCATCCACCACCTAATGTCTTTAGAAAAGAACGTTCACACACACATCTTAAAGTTGTTTCTATATCATATAATGGCTCTAAAAGAGACAATATTTTCCAATCTGTTTCTCGACATTCAACTCCTAATGCACCTTGTCCAACAGCATATAATGCTTCTTCTGGTTCCAACAACTGTCAATATTAAAATACAATATACGATAAAAATACAGAAATATACATAAGAATTTTGTAAATATTTTAGTAATTTTAAGAATTTTGTAAAAATCACCTGACTTATTCTATTCTCCCAATTCAATCTTTTTAAACCAGCAGCTGCCAAAATAATTGCTGCAAAAGGTCCATTTTCATCATCTAGTTTCCTTAATCTAGTATTTAAATTTCCGCGAATATTTTCCACTTTTAAATGTGGCATATTTCTAGCTAATTGAGCTGATCTACGTAATGAACTAGTACCAATCACACTACCTTCTGGCAGGGTAGATAATGTTTTATCTTTGTATTTTTTAGACATAACAACTGCATCACGTGGATCTTCACGTCTATAGAAATATTTTAATTAACGAAAGCTTTATTTCATTTAATGTAAACTCAATAAAATATATAAAATACATTTACAATTATAGAAGGATTAGATATAACATTTTGTTTTATTAAACATAAATAAAAGAAATATTAAAATTAAATAAAAGTGATATAAAAAATTTGGCCAAAATGTTTTTACAAGTCCATACAAATGATAATTTCATGTACTATATGGTAATGATATGGAATATGGTAATTTTATTGCTAATTTAAATTTCAGATATACATTTTGAAATAGCAAAACACGAATAGAATATCATATTGGACTGCAATATCATCAACCTTGTTTCATATTTACTTTAATATTGCACCTAGCGCCATTCCTTCTGGTAATGATGTTGGTAAATCTTTTAATGAATGTACTACAAAGTCAACACGACCACTTTCAAGTGCAAGTTCTAATTCCTCTGTAAATAAAGATTTTTCTCCAATTTTAGGTAAAGATTTATCTAAGATTTTATCTCCTTTGGTTGCCATTGTTACTGTAAAATCATCATTTAAAAGTTTATTAAAAAATCTTGATGAAAACAAATTATTTGTATATAAAGATCAAGTCAAAAAATTATATAGATATCTCTTACATAAGTTTGAATATAACGTCTATTATAATTTATACATTACATAAGACATTACATTTTAAGATATGTATGTATATATGTATGTAATGATTATTAATAATGACAATATAAAAAGATTTAAAAACTCTAATATGGCAATATACAAAGATATGTGTATATTTATATGTATTATAATAAATAAATGTATGAACATATTTTAATAAAAAAATTTTAATATTTTATATAAAAATTGATAGATATAATTTCACTTACCTATTTGAAATTCTATTGTTGGATGATATTCCTTTAAACATTCTATTACATATTTTGTTTGTTTCAAAGCCAACTGAAATAATTATAATGAATTTAAAATTTCATTTTTTATAAAATTA